ACAGAGAGAGAGAGAGAGAGAGAGAGAGAAAGTGAGAAAGTAAGCCACCAGGTCCAGGACTTGAACCACTGTTGGCCATGTGGGAGTCCAGCGCCCTTACCCACCATGCCACCTGCCAGCCCCTGTGGATGATTCTTTACCCTGAGCTGGTTCTATGCTTGCAGACATTCCGAGACTCTACTTTCAGAACTCCCTATCACCAGTGAAAAGAAGTGTCTGAAGTATTTAGCGTGTATGTCCTTCTCTCCTCCCTGAAGCCGACCACTTTACTTCTCAAGTCGCCCACCTGTTGCAATAGAATCTTCTGTGGTGTGTAAGCAGAGTTGGTTGCAGGTTATAGTGTTGCTGCCTCTCATTTATTTATTTATTTGTTTTTAATTTTTATTTACTACAGAGCATGTGCCCTTGCTAGAGAGCGAGACAGAGAAGAGGGAAAGTGAGAAATCGCCCCTTCTTCCCAAGGGGATGGCCATGCCTCAGTCCCTTCTCTTTTTGGGACTTTGGGCATACATGCATATGTGTCTGGCATGTTTTTCAAGTCGTCATGTCTGGGACTTGAACCCCATAGTTGATTAACCATGTGGGATCCAGCCACCTTACCCATCATGTTAGTTGTCTGGCTCAGTCCCTTCTTATTTAAAGAAATTGTTTTTGTATGTGATAGAGTAAGTGGGAAGGCATGAGAGAGACCCCTCAACAGGGTTTGATCATGCCGCAAACCCTGTCCCTAGCCCGCCAGTTTGTCAAGATGTTTAGCATGCATGTGTGTACCCTGCATTTCAGGCCAACCTTGCAGGGGTCTGCACCCCATGTCTATAGACTCTGCTGCTCAGGCTGGGTTGTGCTTTCTTCTTAGACAGTGCTGAGTCCCGGTAGATGCACAAGCAGGTGTCCAGGGCTCTGTTAGGGATGTGGGATTGTTAATGCAGTGGTGCGGAAGATACCAGTGCAGAGTTGGGTCAAGAATTGGTGTTAAGGGAACCAGCAGTTAGCGTAATTGCTATGTTGCTGGACTCCCATGTAGTCAACCGCGGTTCGCGTCCCGGACCCAGTGGCTTAAACTCACGCCGGGCGCGTGTGCGTGCATGCCCAAGATCCCGAGAGGAGAATGGAGGAGAAGGGATTGCGGCGTGACCATCCCCCTGGGGAGGGCGATTTCTCACTTTCTATCTCTGTCTCTCTCTGTCTGTCTGGCGAGCGCACGCGCCCTATAGCGAAAAAAACCTCTCAAAAAAAATAAAAAAAGAATTGGTGTTAGTTACACTCTTGACTTGCTTAGGTTTAAGCGTTTTCTTTTATTTAGATATTGCTGTCTGTTTTTCTTTGTTATTTTTTCTAAGTGGGTAGGAGAAAGGAGATATAAGTACTTTTTAAAAAACTTTATTTCTTTATTTATTTACTTAAGTTTGACCAGAGAGGGGCAGAGTGAGAGAGAGAGGGAAAGTGAGAAAGCAAGCCCCAGATATTGGACTTGAACCACTGTTGGCCCTGTGGGAGTCCAGCTCCCCTAACCACCATGTCACTTGCCGACCCCAAGTACTTTTTAAAAAATTTTATTTATTCATTCACTTATTTTAATATGACTAGAGAGAGACATAGAAAGTGCGAAAGCAAGCCACTGGGTCCAGGACTTGAACTGTGGTCCGTCACGTGGAAGTGTCCAGCACCTGAACCACTATACCACCTGCTGGTTCCCTCTTTTTTTTTTTTTTGTATAGGTTTTTGCTGTAGGGCACATTGACTCACTGGGACAGAGATATTGAGAGGGAAAATTTGAAGTCCACCCCCCCCTGCCCTGGGGATGGCCACATCTCAGTCCCTTCTCTAATTTTCTTGCACAAGCTCAATTTTCAAGTGGTCCCGTCCTGGACTTGGATCACAGTCAGCCATGTGGGAGTCCAGCTCCTTAACCACTACGCCACCTGCTGGCCGATGAATAATTTTTAATTAATTATTTTTTGTTTTGAGAGGTTTTGCTATAGGGCACATTCGCTCACGGGAAAAACAGAGAGACAAAAAGTGAGAAATCACTCCCCCAGGGGGGATGGCCATGCCACAATCTCTTCTCCATTCTCTTGGGATCTTGGGCACGCGCACACACGTCCCTGGCATGAGTTTAAGTCGCTGGGTCCAGGACTCTAACCGTGGTCGACTATGTGGGAGTCCAGTGATGTAACCATTACGTCATCTGCTGGTCCTAATACATTCTTATTTCTGAAGTCTTGAGAAACTTACTAAGTGAAGAACTTTACCTAATGAGGTTTTTTTCCCTTAGTAATCATGGCTGAATAACTGCTAAATATGAATCTAAAATCAGATTAATGTTAAATGTAGTGATGAGTCAGACATACCTGAAACAACACATTTATAGATTTATGTCTTAGAATGCTTTTTTTTTTTTTTCAGTGTGATTCACAGTATTTGGCCTTTTCAGCATTTCAAATATTATTCAGAAGTTTCCCAAACTCTTCCTAGGAATAAGTGAAGAGACTGCCTGGAATGAGAAGCACCAATTCCTTACTTAGATTTTTTTCATAATTGGAAATGGAATTGACATGTGGTTAGTGAAAAATATTGGATTGTTGGGAAAGTCATGAAGTGTGTTTCTATGCAAAAATGTGCCAGAACTTTTTTGATAGCCCAATACGTGAGAAAAAGGTGTATGTGTCGAAAGATCTTTCTTAGCTATGGGATTTAGCAAACCTGTTTTCTTTAGTGATTGTTTTTAAAAATTTATTTATTTAAGCCCTGGATCCCATATGACCAACTGCATGCTCAAGTCCTGGACCTGGCAGCTTGAAAGTCAGATGTACTCAAGATCCTGAGAGGAGACTAGAGGAGAAGGGATTTCAGCATGGTCATCGCCCTGGGTGTGGTGTGTGCGCGTGCATGTGTGTGTGCGTGATTTCTCCCGTTTTTTTAAAAACAAATAATTTTATTCATTGTCATTATTTTACTGAGGTTGACCAGAGAGAGAGAAGGAAAGTGAGAAAGTAAGCTGCCAGGTCCAGGACTTGAATCACAGTCAGCCACGTGGGAGTCCAGCTGCCTTAACCACCACGCCACTTGCTGGCCCCCAGTTTCTCTCTCTCTCTCTCTGTCTCTATTTGGCGAGGGCATGCTCTCTATAGGAAAGCTGAAAAAGAAAACAAAAAGGAGGACATGATCCCTTAAAAGGATTTTATTCTCCAAACGTGTGTATTTCCCTGCCACCCGTGATGGAGGGCTGAGGGTGTGCCTTTGAGCCTGGCTCCAGGTTGGGGGTTATCCTTCTCTTGCATAAGCTGCGCCCAGATGAATTTCCTACTGTTTCTATTTTTGGCTTCTTTGAAGTGGCACATGAAATTAGATACACATGAAGCATTTTTTTAAAAACTTTTTATTTTGAAATAATAATAGATTCACAGGAAGTTGCAAAGAAACTACAGAGAGGTCACCGTACCCTCCACCCAGAAAGCCCTGGCAGTTATAGCTTATGTAACTGTGGTCCAGTACCTAGAGCAGGAAGATGCCATTGGAACAGTGTGTGTGCGGTTTTGGGCCATTCTGTCGCAGGCAAAGATGCCATTGGAACAGTGTGTGTGCGGTTTGGGCCATCCTGTCGCTGGCGTCCTTTCGGTAACCAATACCTCATTAGAGAACAAAACTGTTTTACCACTGCAAAGAGCTCCCTCCAGGGACCAGCAGATGGCATAAAGATTACGTTGCTGGCCTCTTCAAACTTACCCTGGGTGCGTGTGCGTGCATGCCCAAAATCCTGAGGGGAGAATGGAGAAGAAGGGATTGTGGCGTGGCCATCCAGGGTGAATTCTCGCTTTCTGTCTCTCTGTCTCTCTGTCTCTGTGACGAGCGCACGTGCCCTATAACAAAGATCTCTATAAAAAGAAAGAAAGAAAGATCTCCCTCCTTCGGACACCACCTCTGAGCTCCGGCCTCCTCTCTGTAACCTTGTTATTTCAAGATGGTGTGCTGTGCAGCCTTTCGAGCTGGGCTCGCTCACTCGGCGTAATGCCCTAGAGGCTGTCAGAGTTGCTGAGTTTCTCGTTAAACTGGGGCCGTTTATTTGTCTCTGTGTTTTTCTAAAGTTCTGCCACAGGGCGCACATGCTTGCTGGAGAAAGACAGAGAGAGGGAGAGTTAGAAATCACCTCTGGGCAGGTGGCCATGCTGCCGTCCCTTCTCTCTCCGCGAGATTTTAGGCACGCTCGCAGACACGTGGAGTATTTGTCAAGTCGCTGGGTCTGGGACTGAACTTGCACAGCCTGCCGTGTGGGCATGTGAGGGTCTGCTGCCTTAACCTCCATGCCACCTGCTGGCCCTTGATTTCTCTCTCTTTTTTTTTTGAGAGAGAGATTTATTTATTTATTTAAAAAAATATGGACTCCTTCACAAATTTGTGCCTCATCCTTGCGCAGGGGCTGTGCTAATCTTCTCTGTATTGTTCTAGTTTTAGTATATGTGCTGCTGAAGCAAGCACGAGATTTAATTATTTTTTTTAAAAGAATGATTTTATTGGGGCTGGCAAGTGGCATGGTGGTTGGGGCACTGGACTCGCACATGGCCAACCATAGTTTGAATCCTGGACTGGGTGGCTTGTTTTCTCACTCTCCTTTAATAAGACCAGAGAGGGACAGAGTGGGAGAGAGAGAGAGAGAGAGAGAGAGAGAGAGAAAGCAAGCCGTCGGGACTGGGACTCGAACTGCGAGCATAAGTCTTTGAAGTTTTTTTTTAATAATATTTAACTTTTATTTATTCATTTATTTTATTATTATTATTTTTAATTTGACCAGGGTGAGACATGAAGAGAGAGAGAGCAAGAGAGAGAGAAGTGAGAAAGCAAGCCACCAGATCTGGGACTCAAACCATGGATGGCCATGTGGGAGTGTCCAGCCCCTTAGCCACCACGCCACCTGCTGGCCCCAGTCTTCGAAGTTTTGTTTTGCAGTTTGGTGATTGTTGTCTGAAATTACTGGCCATGTGAGAGTCCAGCACTCTTAACCACCGTGCCGCCTGCTGACCCTTGAGAGAGAGATTTGCTGTAGAGTGTGTACGTTCACCAGAGAGACAGAGATGGAAAGATAGAAGGCGAGAAATCACCACCTGGGGGGGCATCCACATCACAGTCCCCCCTCCTCCATTCTCTTGGGATTTCGGACATGCATGCACACGTGCTTGATGTGCGTTTCAGGCCGTCCAGTCCGGGATTCAAACCACATTTGGCCACGTGGGAGCCCAGCACCTTAAGCACCATGCGCTGCTGACCCTTGGTATGTCTTTTGTACTGGAAACCTTAGCTTGTAGTGACAGCATACTGTATCATGAACGTGCTTCGTGCACTAAAATGGCTTCGTCATAACAGCATATGGGACCCTGTTCTTAGAGTGTCGGTACTGGGGTTACCCGTAGGACTGATGAGTACAGTTGAAGAATCTCGTCGCTTAGGCTCTGTTTCTAACATGTAGCTCACGAGTCTCTTGAAATGGTTTCCTCTTGATGCACATCAGCTGGTTCGTTACCAGTGATAGCGTTTACTTTCTTTTTTCTGATTTAACTACTTTTTGAGGATGAAAACCGTTTACACGTATCAGAAGTGAAAACATGTGAGGCCCATTCACCACCTTGCTGCCTCGGGCCCTGCTGCCTTCACCCAGGTCCTTCGTCTCCCTCACGTTCCTTTCTTCCTTATGGCTCATCTACCTGCATGCGTGCACACATGCACACACACATGCACACACACGCACACGCGCGTCGTTCCTCCTGTCCCACACAAGGTAGTCGTGTATGTATACTGTTACAAACTATGTCTTTTTCTTTTCTTTCTTTTTTTAACTTAATTTAATTTTTTTAAATTTCATTTTCTTCCATACATTCAATCACAGTATTATTTGTCTTACAAAATGGATATTTCAACAGGTGAACATTTCTCCCTAGTACTGTTGATAAAACTACGAAATATCTTCAACAGATAATGCCACACCTCTTTGTGCCATTAATGCTTTGCCTCCCTGTCCCTCCCCCAAATGCCCTTCCTGAACTGCATTTCTCGGATGATTGTCAGCAAACGTCAAATAAAGAAATCTTCAGTCTGCTCTTGCACGGCTGGACACGTAAGGGGAAAGGAGTCCCCTGCCGTTCTGTAAGAGCTAAGTGTGAGCACGCCGTACGCTTACTCCCCTTTCTCACCCCCAGCTTGCGTTCACGAGAGATGGGCTCTGTGGTCTGTGGAATGAAATGGTTAAAGATGGAGAAATCGTATACACGGGAACAGAATCAACCCAGAATGGAGAGCTCCCTGCCAGGAAAGGTAAGGGCCTTTAGCTGGTAAGTTTCATTTTGTAAAGACCACCAGGGATTCCGTTTTAGGAGAGTGTATACATTTGTTGTGGGAACAGGAGCGTCTGAGCATTGGTCTTTGAAGTCTCGTCTTGCAGTCTGGCGATTGCTGTCTGAAACTGCAGTGATTCCTGGACCTCATGGTTCTTGGTGAACTGAAGGCGTGTTCATTTCAAAACCGGCTCGTTGCGTTTGTTGTTGTCGTCTTCCGTGCTTATTTCAGCTTACAGGAACGCGTTGATATTTCCTGGTTTATATCTGGAAATAGATCTTGCCTTGGCCAACTATAAATGATTGTGAAACCGAGTGGACGCAATGATTGAGAACTTTCCTGTATCACTCTCCCGTGGGAGTGCATAAGCCCTGCTGGGAAGCCTCTGGCTGGCAAGGGACTATCTAGGACTGTGCTTATGAGAACTCGGCCAGCCTCTGTCCTGGGCGGCTCTTGCTTAGGCGTGTGTCACTGAGGCTGCGTGGAAGCGGGTGCCTGTCCCCACTCGTACTGGTTGAACCCGAAGAGCCCTGGCCAGACCCAGTGCCAAGGCCGGCCAGTACCCCTGGTTGGAAGTCACCAAGGCAGGCTCCCCAGCTGACATCCTCCACCCCTCCTCCTGGGCCGCTGGCCCCCTTAGACCCTTACTTCCAGGTCACTGTTGGTTTTCGTCTTGCAGGAAACATTGATGCATAATGAAATATGTGTGTGTGTGTCTGTATATTTAAATGGTTTCATCTTTTTTATTCATTCATTTATTTAAATTTGACCAGAGAGAGGGAAAGTGAGAAAGCAAGTGACCACGTCTGGGACTTGCACTGTGGTCAGCCATGTGGGCGTGTCCAGCACCTTCACCAGCACACCACCTGCTGGCCCAGAGTACGTATGTTTTAAGCGTACTGTTTCACACATTCGACAAGTGTAACCTAAACCTTTGTTTGCCTGGAAAGTTATCTCGTGCCCTTTCTGGGTTGTTCTCTGCCCAGAGCAGCCTCTGGTCTGTCGTGCTATGTTATTATTATTGTGTTTTTTTTTTTTTTTAAGAATTATTTTATCTAACTTTATTTATTTATTTTTTAGTTTTAATTTGATCAGAGAGGGAGAAAACGAGAGAGAGAAAGGGAGAGAGAGAGAAAGCGAGAAAGGAAGCCGCCAGGTTCCAGGACTTGAACCGTGGTTAGCCATGTGGGAGTCCAGTACCTTTAACCACCACACCACCTGCCGGCCCCGCCATTGGTTGGTTTTCCCCGTTCTAGAATGTCATGTAGTGGGAGGATGTGGTCGTGGGGACTCTTCTGTGTATGGCTTCGCTCACTCTGTGTATGTTTCCGAGTCTCCACCTCCTTGTTCTTTGCATCTATCAATAGTTCCTTCTGTGGATTTTAGCAGTTTGTTACTTCTTGCTAGGCTGCAGTCTTGGTAATAAACTAAAACAATGTTTCTCCGGGTATTTCCTGGGAAACGCCAGTTCTAAAAGATGCTCTAAGAGAAGCCAATTGCCTTTTCTCTTTGGGAAAATCCAAAGCATATTCTTACTCATTACATTGATGAATTGTTTTGTTCTTTGTTCTTTTGAAAGCGTGCGATTAGAAAGCGGAACATCGTTCTTTATGTACATCCCAACTGAGTGGCTTTCTTAGGGACGTTTCTTTGGCACTAAGGAGAAGATTCTATTTTTAGTGTAGCATACATGGACTTTTTATTAATAGAAGAGACTTTATTTACAGATAGGGTTATGCACACCAGATTCCATTTTTGTTTTTAAGCTGGGCGTCAAACTGTCCATGGCTGTGTGAGATCTGGCTCCCTTACCCACTAGGCTACAGAGCCAGCCAGTCGATGGTTCTTTAATGTTACACATGGGGCCAGCAGGTGGCGTGGTGGTTAGGGTGCTGGACTCCCACATGGCTTCCTGTAGTTCGAGTGCTGTACCTGGCAGCTTGCTGTCTCACTTTCTTCTCTATTTCACACTCTCTCTGGTGAGCACACGTGTCCTGTAGCAAATTAAATAATCATAATGATAAATAAATTAACAACAAAAAGAATGTCAGGTATGCGTACGAGCATGCCTCGAATCTGACTGGGTGGAGAAATGGAGGGAAAAGCGTAGTGGTGTGGCCACGAGCCATTGGAGGGCGATTTCTCTCTCTCTGGGAAGCACACGAGCCCTCTAGCAGTGAAAGTAAATGAAATTGTTGGCTGAGAATGTCAACATCTGGCCCAGCTTGGCCACGCATTTGGTGGCGCACTGAACCAAAGTGCTGGAAGCCGCCTGGCCCAGTACTGGTTGGACCCCTGGCCTGGTTGCCAGGGTGCCCAAGGTCCTGAACTGTTAGAGGGATGGGGAGGAGCAGCCTGTGTGATGAGACACTGGTGAGAGCGTCTCTTTTCCTCTCTCTGTCTCTCTTTCTGGCGCTTTCTCCCTCTCCTGTGCACATCCTCAATCATGAATTAGACAAGAAACTCTGAGCATCTGTGCTAGTCTGTCTGTGCTAGTTGGTCTTCTTTTCCGGCGTGAGTTGCGGTTTTGGGAGTTTCTCCGGTATTGGGAGATTCTGCATTGTTCCCTGGACATTTTTAGTACCGTGTTCTGAGACCGGATCTTGTCTGGCTCCTGCAGCAGCAGCCAGCCTAGTCCTATTTAGGCCCCAGGTTCCAGCCCACCATCTGTGGGTCGTGGCTGTCCACTCAGCTCGCATGTTTCTGGCGTTCGTGAGGGTCGAGCCACCTGCCAGCCCAGCCCAGCTTCCCTGGCATCTGATCTCACCTGTGTTGTCTGGATCAAGGCCCACTGTCGGTCAGCAGTGCGGTGGGGCCGCCTTCCGAAACCCCTCCCTCTCAGCTGTCTCCCCGGCTTTGTCTCCTGGTCCCGGTGGACTCCTGTGTTTGGTCCTCTGGCCAGGTACGCCCTTCTCAGCTCCAGGTGCCTGGGCCTGAGTGGTGAGAGGACAGTGAGAGGACGCTGGCCCAGTTTCCTTGGAGACTCCTCAGCCTCGCACCTTCAAGGGACTTCACAGGGGGAGGTGTCCATGGGACAGACACGGGGCAAGCCACCCCCCCGACCACGTGGCACCCCTCCTCCTGCTCCTGGAGACAGGTGGAGGGCTTCTGCACATGCTTCTGTGTTTCTGGCTGCTTGAGTTCAGCCCCAGGGATCCCAGGGGAAGGCCGGCGGCTCCCGCTGGCCCCATGGGGCTGGGATGCTGCTGGGCTTCCCTGCTGGGCAGACACGTTCCCTCAGCCGGGACGGCTGTGCCGCTACCACCTGTCAGATCCTGCGGCCTTCCACTTGCCACCTGGACCCACCACCCGAACACAGGGACAATGAAATGGCATCGTATCTTCCTAGTGTTTTGCTTCCAAAGTCAGATTTAGTAGATAAAAAGGACCCTGTCATGTCCAGCTGAGTGCACTCCCCACGCAAGAGAAGCTGTGAGTTTGTGGGTGGTCTAGACTGCCACCCGGTGACACTCCCTCGCGTCCAGCGCTTTGGGCGAGTGTTCGCGCGGCCTGGCAGGAGCTTAGCACGTCCCGCCGCCCTCTTCCCGTGAGGTCACAGCCCCCAGAGCTCGCCCGAGCGTCCAGGCTCAGCAGGGTGCAGCTGCGTCGTGCTGCACGTGTGGCCACGGTTCGGGGTAGTGGTGTATGCAGGGACCTTGTGCACCCGGCTCTGGAATGCCTAGCCAGTCTCAGCCTGTGGAGCTGGGTCTCGGCAGTGGGAGGGGACTTTGCTGTGCCGGGGATGACCGCCAGGACCTGCAGGTGTGGGTGACAAGGCTGGGGAGTCGCGAGGCGACGGCGGGATGCCAGCTGGTGTAGGCAGTTGAGCTGCTTGAAAGCAATTTTCTTTAAAAAGAGGTTTTTGCTATAGAGCGCATGCACTCACTGGAGAGACACAGAGACAGAAAGCGAGAAATCACCACTGGGGGGGATGGCCACGCCGCAATCCCTTCTCCTCCATTCTCCTCTCGGGATCTTGGGCACGCACGCACACGCGGCCGGGGTGAGTTTAGGCCACCAGGTCCGGTTCTTCAATCATGGCAGGCTACGTGGGAGTTCAGCGATGTAGCTGCCATGCCGTCTGCTGGTCTCATGCATTGGTCTCTTCATTAAAAGGGCCATGTGCTAATCATACTGCAGGAGTTATTATTGTGATCCCTGTATATTTTAAGTTTATTTTTTACTCCTTCAGAAAGAGAGAGAGAGAAAGAGAAGCCTTACAGGGTTTCGATGCTCTGACCCACCGGCCTCCAGACAGCTCTGGATCCTGGGCACGAGTGGTCTCTGGACTCGAACAGGAAACCTCCCGAGGGATTGCCTCGGAGCGTGTGCACCACCCTCCAGCCCCTGTGTGCTTAAAAAGTCATCAAACGTTCGCTAATGATTTGTGTCATGACTTTCTGGGAGACATTTGCAGAGACTGACAAGTGGCTGTCACATTTCAAAAGGCAATTACAGAATGAAATATTTTACTCTTCCAGATGATGGCATTGATACCCAGAGTGGCACCAAGAAAGAAGACCTGAATGACAGAGAGAAAAAGGATGAGGAGGAGGCGCCTGCCCCCTCCTGCAGAGCCAAAGCCATCCTGGAGAGCTGGGTGTGGGGCAAGCAGCCAGGTATGCCGATCTCCCGCCTCTGCTGCTTGCGGACCTAGAGCAGATGCTCGTCTGCGTACCGGAGGGGACTGTTTTGTCTCTGACTTGTCATGGGATTAAAAAGAAATTAAAGAAATAAAATGTCATGAAGTATACGTAACACGAGACTTGCCATTTCAACCACTGTAAGTGTGCAGTCAGTGACATGGAGTGCACTCACAGTGTCACACCCCATCTCTAGAGCTCCCTCGTGTTCTCCAACTCCAACTCTGTCCTTGGTCACTAGCCCCTGCTCCCTGCTGGTTTTTTTTTTTTCTTGGAGAGGGTTTTGCTATAGGGCGTATGCACTCGCCAGAAAGACAGAGAGCTAGAGAAAGCGAGAAATCACCCCCCAGGGTGGATGGCCATGCCACAATCCCTTCTCCTCCATTCTCCTCTCGGGATCTTGGGCACGCATGCACACGCGCCCGGTGTGAGTTTAAGCCACCGGGTCCAGGACTCGAACCACGGTCGACTGCATGGGAGTCCAGCAACGTAGCCATTACGCTAACTGCTGGTCTCTGAAGTCCTGGCTTAATCCTGAATTTAGTTTCACAACATGATGACAGCTTTGAGGTTTTTTCCCTCTCGAGGCTGTGTGGGGCGGGTTCTATGTCACCACCCACAGACTGCGTGCAGAGGTAGAAACACCCCACTGGCAGTGTCTGCTCGGGGCCTTACTTTGCGTGGCCCCAGGCCGTTGCCTGGCCCTCTGATCACTTTTGTCCCTCAGAAACTGGGTGTGCAGCCCTGCCTCATGTGGCTATCAGGTTCCTGAGCAGATAGGGTCAGCGCGTCAGACCAGCCTGGGCCCGCTCCGTGTCCTCGCATGTGGCCTCTGTCCCTGTCCGCTTGCCCAGCCGACACCAAGGCAGGCCGAGGCCCTGAGCGGCAGGTGGCGTCTCTCCCCGTCCGCAGACGTGCGCGAGCTGAAGGAGTGTCTGTCTGTGCTGGTGAGGGAGCAGCAGGCGCTGGCCGTGCAGTCGGCCACCAGCACGCTGTCGGCCCTGCGGCTCAAGCAGAGGCTGGTGATCCTGGAGCGCTACTTCGTCGCCCTGAGCAGAGCCGTCTTCCAGGACAGCGTCAAAGCCAAGTGGGAGAGGGGCAGCGCTCCTCTGCCTCCTGTGGACAAGAAGAGGTAAGGGCGGGAGGGCCCTGGCGCCGCCCCTGGGAACCGGTGCTTTGGGGCTCTCCGGAACTCCTTCCTCCGCCCCGAGCTTTGCTCTTGCATACCTTGTGTGCTCACGAATACAGACGTTGGGCTTACCCCTTTGCTCATATGGGCCATGCTGTGTAATCTGCCATTATTTTAAAGACGTTTTGGTTTGCTAGCAAGTACGTATGCTCGCCAGAGAGAGAGACAGAGATGGAGAGGAGAAAACACCACTGTGGGACGTGGCTATGCTGCCGTCCCTTCTCCTCCGTTGGGAATTTTGGGCACACAAGACCTTTTCCATCAGTAACTGAAGCCAGCCGATTTAGTTCGGCTCAAGTGTAGATTTGAGAATAGGGGCCAGTCAGTGGTGTGGTAGTTACAGTGGCTAGATCCGACCTGGCCAACTGTGTGCTTCAAGTCCTGGACCTGGCAGCTTGAAGAACACGCTGAGTGTGAGCGTGTGTGTATGCGTGTGTGTGTGCGCACGCGCACACGTGCCAGAAATCCCAGAAGGAGGAGGGATTGCAGTGTGGCACCCTTTACGGGAGGTGCTTCCTCACTTGGCCATCTGCGTCTCTGTCTCTCCCTCACTTGGCCATCTGCGTCTCTGTCTCTCCCTCACTTGGCCATCTCCGTCTCTGTCTCTCCCTCACTTGGCCATCTCTGTCTCTTGTCTGATGAGCGCATGCCCTCTAGCACATGGGAAAAGAAAGAAGAAGAAAGGGGTGCGAGCAGTGCAGTTTGGCTCGTTTGCTTCCGCTCCTGGCCAGGAGGAGCCAGGTGGCCCTGCTCAGTGCCTAGCCAGTGTAGCTGCTTCCCTCCCCGTGCCGTGTCCTCACTCTGACTACAGGGGGCCCTCCGCATGTAGCCTTGCGTTTGTGGGTGTCTGTTGGGACGTCAGCAGGTTTCCTCTGGGAGGTTTCCACTGGAATCCTTAAGGCTGGCGTTCCCTTGTGTCTTTCCTACTGTGGCTGTCTCTCAACCCCGGTCCTGCCGCCGACCTCCGCTCGCTCCGTTGTCTGCAGTGCCCGGCCCGTGGGCAAAGGCGTGGAAGGACTGGCCAGAGTGGGGTCCCGGGCAGCGCTCTCTTTCGCCTTCGCGTTCCTGCGCAGGGCCTGGCGCTCAGGTACGTGTCTCCCGGGCCCCAGGAGAGCAGGACTCCGTGCTCCGTTCTGCCGCCGTAGGTTTCGGGGCGCTCCCAGAGGCTGCATGCCTGTGTCCTTTTTGTAACGAGAGGCTGCAGAGTCCGCCAGGCCTATGCTTAAACGGGGGATGGAGCGTGAGCTGCACGGCGCCCCAGTCACCCGCCCACAGGCCACCTCAGCCCCGCGTGTGCTCTGGAGAGCCTTGCGGGCAGACTGCATGTGAACTCTGCTGTGCTGGGCTTGGTCAAGAGGGGTATGAACAGTGCTGGCCCCCACGCAGCAGTCGAGGGCGAAGGCGCAGCCAGAGAACAGGAGCTCAGCTTGTCTGCCTGTGCCCATGTGTCCCCAGGTGAGGATGCCGACCTGTGCAGCGAGCTGCTGCAGGAGTCCCTGGATGCCCTGCGTGCCCTCCCCGAGGCCTCGCTCTTCGACGAGGGCACTGTGTCCTCCGTGTGGCTGGAGGTGGTGGAGAGAGCCACCAGGTTCCTCAGGTCTGTCGTGACGGGGTGAGTGGCTCTCCTTACCTCCTGCGCGCTGCCCGGCCCTGGCACAGCCGTCAGCAGGTCCGAGTTTGGGTCCTCTATTGGCCCAGGAAGCTGCCGTGGGGAATGGATGGGAAGGAAGGGCATTTGTATAACTTCATTTTCCCAGACATTTCGTGATTTAGAGCTCAGTCCTTCATGAAGTGAGCACCTACTGTGTGCCTCTCAGTGACCGCTAGGGGCCAGCATCTGAGCTCTAAGTCTGGGCCAGAGACGGAGTAAACGGCTGTTCAAGGTGGAAGTGCTTACACCTCAGCCGGGCTAGTGTGACGCTGTTAGGAGGAACCTTTGTCCATGAGGAAACACGACTCTGGGACTGCGTTTTTACATAGTTGCAGTTCCTAAGTTTAAAGAAACGCATGCACAGTATGGAAGTGAACAGCAAAGACAGACCTAGAGGAAAGTGAGTCCATCCGCATTTCCGGTCAGAGGTCACATGCGCCTTCTCCCAGCTAGTCGGGACGCCAGTGGTGTCTGTGTGGGTTGGCTCCTGGGGGTGCTGGCATCCCAGACTTTGAGGTTGGGGCTCTGACAGTAGGCGTGGGGTTAATTCCAAAGGTTCAGCTATACTATTAGTGTTGTAAGGTCCGCCCTCCCTATCTTGGGTTAAGAAAATTCATTACTGGTTAGCTAAGGAAGGTCGAACACTTTTCTTCCAGAGATAAAGATAAGCAGAGACACTGGACCATCGACAGAGACTCGGTGGTTCAGAAGTGGCTTCTCTGGCTCTGTGGGGATGAGGGCATTCTGACACCCTCGTACTTCACCCGCCTGGGAAATACCCAAGTGTCCCGCCTAGCTTTTGGGGGTGATGCTGATTATTTTATGTTCCAGAAAGGAGGAGTATGTCTTCTAACACAGGGTCCGGTCTGAACGGATACTTTAGATAAAACATTTTTACAAGTTAATTGTGCATTTTATGATCTCTGACTAAACTTGCATAGCAAGTCTCAGAAACTAGATCCTCAACATGGAAAATGTGCCCGTGCTGGCGAGCGTGCTGTCTCTGACGCTGCTTCGTTCCCGCATCCGCGGCTGTCGTTCCAGGGATGTGCACGGGACGCCGGGCACCAAGGGGCCAGGCAGCATCCCCCTGCAGGACCAGCACCTGGCCCTGGCCATCCTGCTGGAGCTCGCTGTGCAGAGAGGCACACTGAGGTGAGAGTGCTGCTGCGGGAGCTTCCGGAGAGGCCGCGGTAGCCAAACTGGCGTGCTGTGTCGTCGGCTCGGGGGGTGGGGCCCCGGGGGGGGAGGCCTGAGACACCCGACGTGTGGCAGCCTGTAGTCAGGGAGGCGGGGGCAGGCGGGCCACAGTGGCAGGACCAGTCTGAAAGATACCTGTTTCTGCCCCCGCCCCCACTAAAAAAAAGTCTGGGTCCAATTACTTTCCCCTCCCTTCTCAAGTTGCCAGTGGGCACCTGTGCTCGCGGTGAGGGCAGGAGCAAGGAGGGAGCGCCCCACGGGCATGGCCGCGCCGCAGCCTCGCCTCTGCTTTGTCTGTCCCATCGAGTCCCTGGGCAGCATGTGGACACCTGCTGTGATTGGCAGGCGCGGAGGCTGGTGCTTGAAGCTCGGTCAGCCACGTAGGGTCTGCCTCCTTTAACTACTGGGACGTAGTGCCGGCCCCTCATGTACACTTTAGTGCTTCGTTTTCTAGTTGTCTAGGAACTGCTCTTTTTTTTTCTTTCAGTTTTCCTAAAATAATTGTTTTTATTTTATTATGTAAGGTCCTAGATGCTTTCTGTGAAAGTGTAATTTGAACAGACTTCTTTTTTTTTGAGAGAGATTTTTTGCTATAGGGCTCGTGTGCTTGCCGGAGAGACAGAGAGACAGAAAGCGAGAAATCACCCTCCAGGGGTATGGTCATACCGCAGTCCCTTCTCCCCCACTCTTCTCAGGATCTTGGGCATGTATACACATGGGCCTTGTGTGAGTTTTAAGTTGCCGGGTCCGGGACTGGAACTGTGATTGGCCCCTGAGGGGTGATTTCTTGCTTTCTGTCTCTCCTGTGAGCACACATGCCTTATAGCAGGAAAAAAAAAACTCTCTTTAAAAATAAAAACATACATAAATAAAGTTTCTTTTTTTCTTTATTCTATGAGTGTGAAAGATAGTGAGAACTTTCAACAAGGTTTTGATGCCACGATCTACCCTCATCTAGTCCCAGACCCTGTGCCTGTGTGTGTCCGGCGTACTCAGGGAGGTCTCCAGACGTGAACCTGGAACCTTCCTGTGTGGGCCAGCCTCACAGAGCATCTCGTTCTTCCACTGTGCCACTGTCCGGATGGGCCGTAGCAAAGACACATTGGTTCTGACTAGGGAATAAATCTCTCTCCCCTTCAGCCAGATGTTATCTGCCATCCTGCTGTTGCTCCAGCTGTGGGACAGCGGGGCACAGGAGACGGACAACGAGCGGTCCGCCCAGGGCACCAGCGCTCCCCTCCTGCCCTTGCTGCAGAGGTTCCAGAGCATCTCGTGCAGCAAGGACTCAGCCCACGCAGAGGGCGACATGCACGTAAGTGGCCCGCGGGGCCGTGTCCAGGAGACTCTCTAGCCCAGTTATTTTAAGGCGTTAGATGTTATACGCAGGATGGAGTGTGTGTCTATGCAAGTGGCTCTCTCTGGGGTGGGGTGTACCTGGCGGTGACAGGGGCGGGTCAGCCTTGCCACCTGAATTATGGCAGCCATTTCTGTGAATAATCGAGGGGCAAAACAAAGAGGGAGAGTTTATTTAGCTGTGGTCGAGCACAGGGAGTGGCAGAGAGGTTACAAGGTCACAGCCAGCTCCCAGGACAGCAATTTCCAGGGTAGACCGTTAACCTTTTCGCTTGTCCGTTGTGGCCTGTAACGTGAATTGAGCTGATTGGTGTTACTCTTAGACTCTTCAGTTCCCCCAAACTGTTCTGTGCACCTTTTCCTCTTGTATGACAGCCACGACCCTGTTTTTGCTCTTATGCTGATACCGAATCTGTTGACTCCGACTCGTGACATGCATTGATAGAGTTCCTAATTTTAAGAATTTATTTAACTTTATTCATCATTATTATTTTTTAATTTGGCCAGAGGAAGACAGAGAGAGAGAGGAAAAGTGAGGAAGCAAGCCGCCAGGACCAGGACTAACCGCAATCAACCAAGTGGGAGTCCAGCGCCTGAACCACCTGCGGGCCCCATACATTGATAGATCAGAGGAAGCTACAACACATATTTTTAAATAATTATTTATTCAGTTTTACTTCTTATTTTTTATTTTGACCAGAGAGAGACAGAGTGGGAAAATGAGAAAGCAAGTGGCCAGGTCCAGGACTTGAGCTGTGGTCAGCCATGTGGGAATCCGGAGCCCTAACCAACACATCATCTGCTGGCCCCACTATAAATCCTTTTTTTAGGTAATACTGTTTAACAAAGCAATCTAAACCGCTGTGAGCAACTACTATGACAAATTATAACATTGTTGCAGTTTCCCAATTTAACCTGTTACATTATGTCTCTTGAGAGACATTTCCGGCCCCTTGGGTTTCTTGCCTGGGACCCTGGCCTCTACCCAGCTGCGTTCTGTAACATCATCTAAACAAGTGACCTGCGTTTCCTCTTGTAAGCAGACAGGCTTGTTCGTGATCTTGCTTGTTGCAGTGGTCACAGATTCCGTTAGTGACAGAGCTGCCGCACCAAGCAGCCCTGGAAGGGTGAGAGGGCACAGTGAAGCAGAAGCTCGGGCTCGCGCTACTTGTCTCCTGCTGTGAGGTGGGGTGTGTGGGGTTCCCAGCGGCACCTGACGTGGGCGTGTTGGAGCCCGATGCAGCTGGGAGGCCCAGGGCCAGCTCTGAGCTGGTGGCCCCCGGCTGTGCGTTTTCATTTTGGAGTGTGTAATTAGTAGGAGGAACTCACATCTTCACCTGGGTCCATGTACTCTTTTTTCTTTCTTTCTTTCTTTTTTTTTTTTAAGAATTATTTATTATTGGGACCAGCAATTGGCAAAATGGCTATAGGGCGTGTGCGCTCACCAGACAGAGAGAGAGAGAGAGACAGAGAGAGAGAAAGCAAGAAATCACCCCCCCCGGGGGGGGGGATGGCCACGCCGCAATCCCTTCTCCTCCACTCTCCTCTCGGGATCTTGGGCGGGCACACATGCACACGTGCACAGTGTGAGTTTAATTCACTGGGTTCAGGTTTTGAATCGTGGTCTGTCACCTGAGAGTCCAGTGACGTGGCTGTCACGCCATCTGCTGGTCCCAGTTATCATTATTTTTCAATTTTGACCAGAGGGAGACTGAGAGAGAGAGAGAGCGAGCAGAGTGCGTGTGCACGCGCGCTGCTAGGTCTGGGACTCCGGTTGGCCCCGTGGGAGTCCAGCCCTTTATCCACCACGCCACCTGCCAGCCCCTGGATCCATGCACTTTTCGAGGAACCTGCCTGTTGCCATGTTCACCCTGCAGCCTTGTTTCTGTTGGACCAGAGATCCCTAGCACGTTGTGTATGTGGGCTTGTGTACGTGGACTAGTGTGCATGGGCTCGTGGACATGGACTCGTGTTCATGGGCTCGTGGACATGGACTCGTGTTCATGGGCTCTTGGACATGGACTTGTGTTCATGGGCTCGTGTGCATGGGTTCGTGTACGTGGACTCGTGTTCACGGACTCATGTACGTGGGCTCTTGTGCGTGGACTCCTGTTCATGGGCTCGTGTACTCGGGCTCGTGTATGTGGACTTGTGGCATGGGCTCGTGTACATGGACTTGTGTTCATGGGCTCGTGTGCATGGGCTCTTGTGCATGGACTCGTGGCATGGGCTCATGGCATGGGCTCGTGGCATGGGCTCGTGGTGTGGGCTCTGGCACAGGGCTTTGTGCTCACATGTTGCCAGCAGAGCCTGTGCCGTGGCCTGGGCGTGAGGCGGAGAGCTGTAACTCCCTGGATGATGGAAGGGAGGCCCGCTCACCCTGAGGAGGGAGGCAGTTGAGGGCTAAAGAGGAGGGGCAGAAGTCCTGAGTGCGTATCGGGGGCCAGCGTGTAGCAGGTGACTGTGGGCTCTTGCAGTGGCAGTAGGGGTGGGAGCTGGTGGGGCCTGGCCCTGGCCCTGGCCCTGAGCCCCCGGACGGTAAGTACAAGCAGAATGTTACCAGCATCAGCCTAATCTACCTATTATTTGGTAATTCAGTGATTCCGGGTCTCTCAGCTGAAGATAAGGCTCTTCTGCCTTCAGAAGTGTTAGCGCTTTGACTTACCTTGAAAATACTGTTAGGTTTTCTCTGGAGTGGGCAGCACTTAGGTTGAAGTAAGGGTCTTTGTTTTCAGTTTTCCAAGGTGGGGCGCTTTGCCGAGTACCCAGGCCACTTACTCTGATCCTCCCGGGGCCCTCGAGCAGCGAGCCTGGGAAGGGGTTGGCCTTACTTGCAATCGTGAGGAGTCTGCACACAGGGCTGGCTTGCGTGTGGTGCAGTCGGCGTGTGCATTATGCGAAGGCCGTGTGCAGGTGTACGGATGTGTGGGCCTGTAGTGTTGGTCATCGGCATTGTCACTTGACAGCCAGCTGAGCAGATGTTCAGGTAACCCACAAATGCTAACCGCTGGGTGGTCTGAAAAGTCTGGATGTGTGTGTAGAGAATCAGGAAAATAGGCACGATTCTCTGACAACCCAGCCCGCAGAGCAGTTAAAGGCTGCTGGTGTTACTTCATTGTTGCTGTTGTGTCCTTTCCTTCCCCAGCTTTTATCTGGCCCGCTGAGCCCCAACGAGACTTTCCTCAGGTACCTGACGCTCCCCCAAGACAGTGAGCTCGCCATCGACCTGCGGCAGACAGCGGTGGTGGTCATGGCCCACGTGGACCGCCTGGCCACCCCCTGCATGCCCCCTCTCTGCAGCTCCCCGACCTCCCACAAGGTGCGTGCCGTCCCTGTGTCCCTCGTGCCACTCCAGGATGCTCGCTCTGCACGTGTATGGAGTTGCTTCCTCTGGTGTCGGTGGTGGGCGCCAGTGTGTGGTTTCGATGCGTGTTTATAGTTTGACGAGTAGTCAGTGAGCCACAAGCTGCTCCAGCAGTGTGAAGCTCGCAGGGCTAAAGGACCCAGCTCGGGCCCAGACTGGTGCGTCCTTTGTGCATGCGGCCACAGACCAGCCTCGCTCTGTGGGGAGCTTCTGGAGCCTGGCTGTCTGCTCTGGGCATGGGCTCTTAGTGCAGTGCAGGGCGTGGCGGCAGTATCCTTACATGGGTGTGCTGCGTGGCGGTGACGGCAGTACAGGGTGGGCGGCCTCATCTGAAATCTGGAAACCAACTCTTCAAAATCTGATCGAGTGTGGGTGGCTCGCCCACGGGGCCCAGGTTCCCCCGCCCTCAGACAGAGCACGGCCCCGGCTGCTTCGTAGCTTGTTGGGTTCACTGATCTTGGACACTGCGGAGCTCTCCGTAGGACGGACGGAGCTTCTCCGCTGTCTGTGTCCTTTATATTAGTCTCCTGGTATCAGACATGGGGTCATTGTTACAGTCTGCTGCACGAGCAGCACTGTGGTGACCGACTCGGCACACGTGTGCCTCTGAGTGTGTGTGCACGCGCGTGTGCGCCTGCCGGGGAGTGCCAGGTCAGGCCACTTTCTCCAGGTTGCTCCCTGCAGGTGGGTCCCTCGCCCCAGGCCTTGTGCTTCGTGTTCGCCTATTTTGGTGCAAAGCGGTGACCTGGCATGTTAGGGCATTTGGAAGTGTGCCGGGGCCCTTCCTGCCGTGGCAGGCTGTTAGAGTGGGGCATGGGGGAGCCCGTCAGCCCTCCCCTTCCTGTAGCTGAGCAGCGGGGGTGGTGAGCTGGTTGGCAGTTCGGATGAGCTCCCCTGTCCTCTGCCTGCCCGGTCCCGCTGGTGCCGCCGCGGGGTCAGTCCTCCGTACTTCCTCGCTGCTCACACGCATCATTTCTCCTTCCAGGGGTCGCTGCAGGAGGTCATCGGCTGGGGGCTCATAGGCTGGAAGTACTATGCCAACGTGATCGGCCCGATCCAGTGTGAGGGCCTGGCCAACCTCGGGGTCACGCAGATCGCCTGTGCAGAGAAGCGCTTCCTGATCCTGTCACGCAACGGCCGCGTCTACACGCAGGCCTACAACAGCGACACGCTGGTGCGTGCTCCGGGGGAGTGCCACGCTGCACCCTCTCCTGGGGCCGGGGCCGCGCTGCTAGTGCTCCAGGGCTGGTCGCTGGTCCCTAGATCTCTGGAGACCTGTCGGCGTCTTTGTTGATGGCTACTAGCTACCTTTAAACACCCCAGGCCAGTGGGGTGCAGTGGTTAAGGCCGCTGGCTCCCACATGGCTGACTGCGCTGTTGAAGTCGCTCCAGGCACGTGTGCACATGCGCAGCGTCCCCAGCTGTCTAGCTGGAGTGGGGTCCGTTTGAGGGCACTCCACGGTTGAGGAGAGCCATGCCGTTTTCCCTGCCGTTGGACTGAAGTGATTCTCTTGTTTTGACCTTCCAGGCCCCACAGCTGGTGCAGGGTCTCGCCTCCAGGAACATTGTGAAAATTGCCGCCCACTCCGACGGTCACCACTACCTGGCCTTGGCAGCGACCGGGGAGGTGTACTCCTGGGGCTGCGGGGACGGCGGCCGGCTGGGCCACGGGGACACTGTGTATGTACAGCACACCAGCTCCACAGCTGCCGTGCCGCGTCCACACGGGCGGGAGCTTCTGCCTGTACGGCCTGGACCGAGGAGGCCGATGCCCGTCCCCTTGGCCCCTCCTGGGAGGCCTCCCCGAGGGAGGGTGGCAGGAGCCAGCCTTCTGTTCTCCCTGGGCTGTGGCAGTGGCTGCTCGGCCACTCCCGACCTGCAGTGTGTAGAGCAGAGCCCGCATCGCTGCCCCTCACTCGAGGTTCCCCGTCAGGCCTCGCGGGAGCCAGTCCCCTTTCTGTGAGCCCCAGTACCATCGAATAAGCACGGCCCCGCAGTTCCTGCCTGGGCTGTGCTGCTGCTCCCTGGACTGCTGTGAGGGGACAAAAGTCAACAGGGAGTGGCTGTCACACCTGCCAGGCTGTGGGAGTGAGGCCTGGGGGGCCTGGGGGACTCTTGGGCAGAGAGCCTGTGGGGAAATGCTCGGGCATTTGGTCAAGTCGGGGTGCACGGAGGCACGTGCCGACTCAGCAGGTGGGCTCACGGGGTCAGGCGTGGGCAGCGCATGGACGTGGCGGGGTGGACGTGACTGGAGGTGCAACAGCACACACGCTCGGACGGTGGGAACTGGGGCTGGCCTGTCCGTGCGGGGTGGGTGGAGATGCGGGCATCCCTGCCACAGCATTCGCAGGAGTAACTGCGGGTGACAGGACCCCATACGTGTAAACCCCCATCAGAAATGCCCGAGCCCGACGGTGCTGTCAGGGTTCAGGTGGGAGTCCGTGCGCGGTGACGGCTGGGCAGGTGTGAGCTCTGGCAGGACGCGGCCTCTGCACCGCTCCTGGGCGCTATCCTTGCTCCCCTTGCAGTCCCTCGTGGCCCCTCGGCTCCGGCAGCCTCGGCTCTGCCCTCTGTCCCTGTCTCCGGGCCCAGAGTCGGCCGTAAACGCGGCCGGCCCCCGCGCTCTCCGCGTCCCACTCCCACGGTTGGCGTGTGCTCAGAGACGTGTGCTCAGAGGCGTGTGCTCAGAGACGTGTGCTCAGAGGCGTGTGCTCAGAGGCATGTGCTCAGAGACGTGTGCTCAGAGACGGGCGGCCGTGGGGCGCCGAGTTCCTTCTTGCTGCTGCTCAGGGCCAAGCTGCTGTCGCTTCCATCGCGCGCGTCTCAGCCCGACCTGGGTGGACGTTCTGCTGGGCGCCGTGCTGGGCTGTCTCTTCCTGTTGAGGGCCGGAGCCTGCAGCGCCCCACCGTGTAGTCCGCGCCTCTGTGGCCCTCACGTGTGGTCCTCTCCCCACAGGCCTCTGGAGGAGCCCAAGGTCATCTCCGCCTTCTCCGGGAAGCAGGCCGGGAAGCACGTGGTGCACATCGCCTGCGGGAGCACGTACAGCGCGGCCATCACCGCCGAGGGCGAGCTGTACACCTGGGGCCGCGGGAACTACGGCCGGCTGGGCCACGGTACGCCTGCCCTGCGCCGGGGTGTGCGGGGCGGGCCGCCGGGGCCGCGGCAGTGACACCCGTGTCTGTCTGAAGGCTCCAGTGAGGACGAGGCCATTCCGATGCTGGTGGCTGGACTGAAGGGGCTGAAGGTCATCGACGTGGCATGCGGGAGTGGGGACGCCCAGACCCTGGCTGTGACCGACAACGGTAGGCTGGGCTCGCACTGCCCTGCCCTGGGCAGCGGTTGGGGACAGGCTGACCGCTTCCCCTGTGGGAGCGAGACCTGGAGAATGACCCTCTTGCCACAGTGGCGTTGGTGGCGTTGCGATTGGTCTCTGATTTAAACAATTTTACTGCCCATAGACTTGTTTACACGCTAGAGAGAGGGAGCAGCCCGGGGTGTAGTCATGTCACAGTCCTCTCTTTACCATTTCTCCAGTCAGGATTTTGGGCTTGCGGGCTGGCAGGTGGCGTGGTGGTTAAGGAGCTGGACTCTCACATGGCTGACCGCAGTTCGAGTCCTGGACCTGGTAGCTTGCTTTCTTACTCTCTCTTTCTCTATCTCTCTCTCTGGTCAAATTAAAGAAAAAGAAATAAAAATGAATTAATTCTTTAAATTAATTACCACATGTGTCTGATACGCCTTTCGAGACCCCAGGGCTGACACCCGAACTACCGTCGGCCCCGTGGTTCCATAACCCCTGCACTGTGGGGCCGGCCCTGTCCTGCCTTCCTGAGTCCCTGTGACCAGCCCTGCTGTGCTCTGCAGCCTGAGGCTACAGCGTGTGCTTGTCGTTGGTCTTAGCCTGGGGCCCATGTCCATGCGGGAGACTGTGCAGTGATTGCAGTGATTGGGTTTGTTGGTTTGGATCACACTGGGCCAGAGAGAAACAGGCAGAGAGAGGAGAAAAGAGAGAGAGCACCCGCGGGGCTTGGTCACACCGCAGTCGTCTTCATGGCTCCCTCCGTCATTCTCTACTTACCCCCGCTGGGATTCTGAGCACTCATTCACATGTGCCCAGCATGCTTTTCAAGACACTGGGTCCCAGACCTGAACTGTGGGTCAGCTAAGTGCAATTCAGCCTTCTTAACCTCCACACCATGGGCTGGCCGAGAATCACACTGGTATTTTTTTTTTTAAACCCTGTATTGGGGACCATCAGGAGGTATGGTGGTTAAGGCACTGGACACTTCGCATGGCCAACCACGGGATGCAGGCTCATGGAGTCCGGGGAGAGCGGCAGTCGCCCGGGGCTATGCGGAGCTCCAGAGCCGCTGCCTGCCTGCCTGCTCACCGGCCGTGCTCATGGGTCTGTGCGTTTCTCTCACTGAGCACCTGGTAGAGTATCTTCTAGACGTGCAGCTTAGCTCAGGCTTGGCCTGACGTTGCGCGGGAAGTTGCACTGGCACACAGCCACGCCGCTGGCTTTGTGTCCCTGTGGCTGCCTTCCTGTGGCAGCGCAGCTGGGTCGATACGGTCTGCGCGTGGAAGAAGTGTGCCTGTCTTGGGTTTAGATTAAGCTGGACCGGGAACTTCATCGCTTTTGGAACAATCTGATTTTCTCCAATTTCTTCCTTCTGATTTTTTTCTCATCTTTTATAGTTTTGGTCTCTATCTGACTTATCAGTCTTAGCACTTCACTTTGAGTTTTTGCAAACAACAAAGCTTGCTCTCAGAATAAACACCACACTTTTGCCATGGTATTAGATCTCCTTCCTGTGTGGCGTGTGGCATGTCAGGTTGTAGTGTCAGCTGCCGATGCAGCTGGAAACCATCGCAGTGGTGCAGTGGGCCTGAGACCAGCATGACGGGGACAGACTAGCACAGGCAGGCCAAACGTGGCCAGCGAGTCCCAGTGCACGGCGGGCCTTCGCGAGTGCTTTACGGAAGCCTTTGGTTCTGTGTTCAGTCTTCAGTTGAAACAGGATCCCTGACCCCCAACCTAGTGAA